CTTTAGCTTATTTTCCAAATTCATTTTCTTATTTTCCTTTTTAATTTTATGATCATTTTGTAATTGTTCTGAAAATAGGTTTTTCTAAATTGGTCATAATAAATCCAATTATAAGATGGAAGAAGTAAATTTATTGTTTGCTGAGGAAGAGTTAATGACTTTATTTTTCATCATTTGTTATTTTTATGGGAGAAAATTTAACAAGTGTTGTCTAAATGGCAGGCATTATGAAGAGAATATTTTAAAGAATAACAGCATCTGAGAGTATCAAAATGGTTGTTAATCTGAAATATAAAGAATCTTGCAATAGAATACATGAGGGAAAAGAATTAAGAATTGCATTGTATTAGAAGTTTCCTTTTTTTGAACATTCTAGAATTTATTAATTTATATTGAGGTATCTCTTATTTCTCACTTTCTCTTATTTAAATGATCAAATTAGTGAAAGAAAGCAAGACATGATATCACTTTGAACTGTGATTTCAAGTCTAGTGATCTAAAAAGTGCAAGCATGTAGTCAACAAACGTTTGTCTATCACACTGACAAATACCAATTACTTAACAATGACTAAAGTATTCAAAAGTACTTAAACAAAAGAGAAAAAATATGAACTTTGAACAGTATATCCATAATTTTAATCCTGATGTACAACATCTTCTTGGAAAATTAGAAAAATACAATAAAAATTAGTCAATTTCAGTTGAATTTAACAAAAGTTAGTTGTGTGAGTGCGTGTGTGTGTGTGTGTATATATGTGTGTGTGTCTATATATATATTTTTATATATATATATATATATATATATACATTTATGTATATGTTTATATAAATATATATATATACATTTATGTATATGTTTATATAAATATATATATATACATTTATGTATATGTTTATATAAATATATATATATACATTTATGTATATATTATATAAATATATATATATATATATTTATGTATATGTTTATATAAATATATATATATATACATTTATGTATATGTTTATATATATATATACATATATGTATATGTTCATATATATATATATATATATATATATATATTATAATCCTTGCTAATTGAATAGATGAAAGTCCTCAGATATATAGAACATTTGAACAGTTTTTACACATTTTATGTATGAAAAAAGAAAAAAAAACACTGATTAGAACACAAGACAAGTTGAATAAACAACTTAATTGCTGTACCTTGTCTGTTGTCTTTATTGAAACTTATATATGCACATGCAAGGAAATGCTTAAAAGATCTTGATCTGTTTTGACCAAACACTAGAATTTGTTTTGGAATGCCTTTTTAGTTGAACTGGAAATTTTTCAGCACCCCTCAAATATATGTATGTTCATTCCACTTTGTATGTATCTATTTATATATATAAAGTGCAGCTTTTAACTAATGAGTAACTAGTGTTCCTGTTGAACCCTGAAACCAAAATCATGCAATAAAAATAATTGGGTTAAAAAAAAATTCTTCTGTGTCTACTTCCAAGAACTGAAACAAATATTATAATTACTCTCACACCTGTGAAGAAAAAGTTTCAGTATTCATTGGATTTAAAAATGAAATATTGTTCAGTTACATGCATGACCTTGGAAAAATAATTCAAATGTTTTCATATTTTTAAAATTATTGTACATTTTATTGTACAAATTTTATGATTTTTTTTTCTTAAAGTGTTTTATATATATATATATGTGTGTGTGTGTGTGTGTGTACGTGTGTCATTTATTTATAGATGTTTCTAATGTCCACTGGAAGCTCCAAAAGTTCAACTCTGACCTTTTGGTATTTGAGTACAGTATTTCACTTCAGCCAACAGTTTGAGAAATTCAAGAAATACTTTTATTCTTTTTGGCAAAGTTCCCAAAATTTTGTTTTATCCACACACCCCTCCCCACCCCATTTTGTGTCTGTATATAACACTATATAATTGGCATTGGTATGTTTAATTTTGTTGAGTGGGGAGGGTAACATTCTTATCAGTTCATTATGCTCAATCCAAGTTAGGATATCACACAGAAAGTGATTTATTTTTTTAAACAAAATTTTGAGGGAAAGTTCATTTTTATATATATATAATTAGAATCACCTGAAATATAAACTGAGCTGTGAGATGAACTCTCTAACCCTTACCCAATGGAAGACATCATGCATCATGGCTTCACTTTATGACCAGGAGTACATTGGTTTAAACACTGGCATTCTCGTCTTTCATTTAATTGATATACCCTATGACAGATTTTATTATTTAATTCAATCATTATTTCATTATTTTACATCTTAATGTAGGTTCTTTGACATTCTATAAATGACATCAGTCTTACATTTATTGATTTCATTAACTACTGATTGACTTTAATGTTACAGGCTGCTGTTTTTATTGCTTGCCAGAAATCTCCTTTGCTTGAATATTGTTTACCATTATGATAGACATCTCTTTTAATGATGGATCACATTTTTTATTAGATTAATATCTAAAGAGATGAGGGCCCATTCCATTAATTTGGATGTCTAGCTTGAAGCTTCTTCATTGTGACTTGTACCTACTCAGAAAACATCTGTGCATTTCTTACCCTGAACCATCATCAACCTTGAAAAGACCAATAATTTTACTACTTACTATACTATCTCAAAACCTGACTCTGAGATTTCTAAGATGTTTTGATTGATTGAAGGCTCCAATCTCTAACCAAGCCATTAATTCATCAAATACCTAAAAATTCCTTTTGAAAAATCAGTTTTCATGTAATTTTACTCATTTCTCTTTGTAATATTTACTTAAAGATTTGGTTTTGTTATGTTCAAATCTTTAACCAATGTTCTTAATATTCTGCATTTTTCTCTCTTTTTAGGTTTGCAATAGTAGTGTCTACCAAATTTTATTAGTGTAATAAAAACAAACATATGAAATGAAGAAAATGTATCCCCCAAAACACAAAAAATATATTCCTATAAACTGGTAATATCAAAATACAACACTGATTAACAAAAATACAGCTAAACTGGTTTATCAGTTTTCTTTTATCAGAGCTGAGATCAAGGGTAAAAATGTGCACACCAACTTAAAAAGAAAAACTAAAAAAATTTGAAAACCCTAGACAAATTTTATATGAAATGAAATATAATATAGGGTAATTACCTAAATCTCATTAACCACTCACTTTGCTGACTTGAGAGATGGCTGGCAGAACTTAATGTAAACTGATTCCAATACTTGCAAATGAAAATAAGAATTAACTTTAACCAGCACTGAGAACATATCTGGGTTATAATACCAGGTACGCTGTGGGTTTTATTATAAAATTTTCAGCTATTGCTAAATTCCAGCTTGTCTTTATTTTTACTGTTTGATTCCCCTTTCATTTTTATTTTATCTTTTTATCCTTTCATAACATAGATGATAATGGCTTTCAACAACTTTCAGTCTTTCTAATTCTTAAAAAGTTTCTTTGTAGTTTATATTAACTTTAAAAACTTTTTTGTGCATTGTATTCTCAGCATTTGCCTATAGAATCACTTCTCTGTTGCTTCAAGTCTCTTCTTCATTTGTGAGGAGATTCTGCAACATTCACTACTATATAGAAGATTAGATTAGCTGCATAGACTTCCAGCACTCGCTTATTTGTTTTCTGATCTTTTACTTACTTTGCTGGGTTTCATTTTGCTATTCTAATATGTCTTCACATTTTCCCTCATCTATGTATATAGTTAAATTTTTACACATGCTTGATATAAACATCTCCAATATGTAACTTACAATTTGTCTCTTTTGCTGACAACAATGTATTATTATCTTTTTATTATTAAAGTCAGTTTCTTTTTTTATTCTTTTTATTTGCTGGTGTTTTCAATTTCTTTTTTGATCATTCTCTGACCTCTGTTCAACTTTTTCACAAGTTTTTACATTATGTTGCTAGCACTCAGTAACTAAACAATATCTTCTTTTTTTTTTGACATTATATTTTTCTTGGTACCTCTGGCAATGTTAATATTACTTATATGCAAAAACAAATATCAAAAATTATATTTCTTTACAATATGATGAACAATTGTCAAGTTGTATACTAAAATCTCATATTACCAAATAACATCTTTGAGCTCCAGAAGAAATTGCCTTCTTATGAAATATTTCAGCTCATCTATTTGCATGAGCATCACTTTAATTACATTTAAGGCAAGTACATTTTTTGTTAAGATTTTTCAAAACCCATAATAATTTAAATGTCTTACCTGTGTGTTCGTTTGCTTCTTTTTCATCCCTTCAGGATATAGGTGATTATGGCTCTCCACAACTCCCTATTCTTTAATATCTACAAACTGAATTGCCATGATTGTTTTTTAATTACCTTATTTCAGAAACATTACTTTTTCCATGGTTTTTAATTTGGAGTTATTCTTTTCATAGATTGGTTGCCCTACTAAGACTTAAGAATTAACCTTTTTAAGGCATGTACATCTTTTGCTAAGATTTTTTGAAGCCTATAATAATTTAATGAAAAAAGAGATGCAAGTTCTTCCTTTCATTGGACTTCTCAATCTAGGCTGGATGTTATTAATTTCAATGTTTATGAAAAAAAAAGAAAAAAGGAATAGCAACTCAAATACGTGTAGCCACTAAAAATAACATTTATAGTAAGAAGACATTTGTTTCTAGTCATAATCTATCTCCAATGTAAAACTCATTGAAAAGACTGCCAGCTTAGATTATCATTGATTTGTTTTTTTTTATGGATTATCAACCCATTGCAGGTTATTTAAAGCCACAAAATATTTTTAGTATGTAAGAATTTTTTTGAGATAATAATGATTTTTTGATACAAGTTTTACTAATTAACCCATAGCTGGGGGAAGAAGCAGTGGATTCAAACCTATCCCAAGGGTATTTGTGCATAATATAAGAAACCCAATGGAAAGTGGAACTCAGCTCTCCGATTAACAATTTGAAACCATTATCCATTACTCCACCCTCACATCCAATATTCCAGCACCTGGGTTTCCCAAGTGGTCACCCATCTCAGTACTGACCAGGTTTGACATTGCTTAACTTTGATGATCATACGAGAATTGTTGTTTCAGCATGATGTGGCTATAAGCATAGGTTATCATTTGACTTCAGTCTATCATCGATGCGAAGTAAGAAGTTGACTTTCTGCTGTTAGGATTAAATATACAGTGTTATGAATGGAGAAAGACAAATATCATTTTCCAGTCTTGTAAGTCCAACCACCAGGTTGTGTCACTTGAAATTTATGTAAAGATTTGCAAGAAGTTGAAATTGTTTTTCAGTATTTAAGATGGTCGCCTTGAGTGACCAAGACTTTTGATTATCATAAAGTTTGTGATTTCTGTCATGGAGATTTCCTGATCTGTTTAGAGAAAACATAAAAATGTGAATATTCAATCGTCTGCTTAGAATGACATCAGATTTCTTACTCTCAATATTCTGAGCTCGACAAAGCATTTTTATGTAGGCGTTTAGCAATGGTTTACATCAAATTCCAAGTCGTTTTTCTCTTTCTATTTGAATCATAGAATGTCAGGTTAAAATTTTCAATATATAATCAGAGAAAAACAACAGAGATTGAAAAATCTCAGATTGTTAGTTTGTCTATAATAAAAATAACTTCTTTTTTTTTTCTGTCTTCGATATAAAAAAAATTGTATCCTTTGCAGGTGCAACACAGACTATAAATTTGAAATCTCTGCCTCCTGACATATAAAGAACCCAGATTTGGTTATGATTTAAAGAATACTATAAAATCAAGCATAAGATTCTTTAACCTCATAGGGAATGATGATGCAACCATTAACAGAAAAGAATCTTGGAAAATTTCCTTCAATGTCCCTTCAAGATGTTGGCGATCACAGCTCTCCACAATTTCCTGTCCTTTGTAGTTCTTAATAAATTTTGTTTTTTCTGCCATCCATTTACTCTGGCTTGCTGGATAGGTTAGGCATTGTTTTCCTTCCTCCCTCGTGTCTTCAATTTGTCCTATGAGTATCAAATTTTCCAAGTCCTCTTTCCTCATTATGTGCCTCAACTATTTCTTTTTATGTTAATTATAAGTGTCCTTTTTGTTTTCATTTTCTCTAAAACTTTGTCGTTGCTCACATGTTCAGCCCATGGTATTCTCAGTATCCTTCTGTAGAACCACATTTCTGTTTTATAAATCACATTTGTAAACACAGTGTTAAAAATGATACTACACAAGAGTTTGGAGTTAACAAAAATACAAGACTTTATTAAGCCAGAAAAACCAGTATAACTTTAAATCATTTTTACCCATTTACAATATCCCACAATGCAATGCAAAGGCTGTCTTTTTCCTATCTCTTGTTTCTTAATATTCTTGTAACATTCCATCATCACCAAGCAGACCAAGAATTTTCATCTATCGTGATGAAAAGGTGTTCTTTCAGGGAGGACCGGTGCCTTAAGCGCCTATTGGAACTTAAGTTCAATCCTCAAGTGGAATTCATACATATGATCCATTGTCAAAGATAATAGAAAAATGGTTGATTCCCTATACGACTCCAGTAAGTACCTGACTCCTCTAGCTGTCCTCTACTTTTACAAGGGCCAAATCAGGCTGAAAAAGGTCTACTGCTGCCATATATAGACAAGAGTTGCTCACTTTTCTCATTCCAGTCTTGATAGAGTCCAAAGGGTTACTGCGTCCATGTGGGTGATTAATTATTTTCCACCTTACAAACCCTTTCCCATATTGCAAGTCTTTCGTTGCTCTATCGTTATTTTCCTGGTAAATGTTCAGACGAACTACATTCCTTAGTTCCACCAGTTAAGACATTCTTCATGCTAAGTAGTATCTCAAGTTCAAAGCAAAACAAAATATTTAATAATCCAAACATTGGGTAAATTCAGAGGTGCAGAAGAGATGCCGCAAGCAAGAATTGTACATCCAATATCAATAAATCCAAGCAGCACATTTCAAACAGCACTGTTCAATAGTCAGATTCAAGCTGCCGCCCCCTAAAAAACCATTCTCTTCGTTTATATCAGTTACACGTTCACTGTTCAATGTTCAGATTCAAGCTGCCCGCCAAAAATACTATTATCTTCATTTATATCAATTACACAGTCATTGTTCAATGGTCAGATTCAAGCTGCCCACCCCCAGAAAACCGTTCTCTTCGTTTATAACAGTTACACGGTCACTGTTCAATGGTCAGATTCAAGCTGCCTGCCAAAAATACTATTGTCTTCGTTTATATCAGTTACACGGTCACTGTTCAATGGTCAGATTCAAGCTGCCCGCCAAAAATACTATTCTCTTCGTTTATATCAGTTACACGGTCACTGTTCAATGGTCAGATTCAAGCTGCCCCCGCCCAGAAAACCGTTCTCTTCGTTTATATCAGTTACACGGTCACTGATCAATGGTCAGATTCAAGCTACCTGCCAAAAATACTAATCTCTTCGTTTATATCATTTACACGGTCACTATTCAATGGTCAGATTCAAGCTGCCCCCCAGAAGACCGTTCTCTTCGTTTATATCAGTTACACGGTCACTGTTCAATGGTCAGATTCAAGCTGCCCCCCAGAAAACCGTTCTCTTCGTTTATATCAGTTACACGGTTACTGTTCAATGGTCAGATTCAAGCTGCCCCCAGAAAACCATTCTCTTTGTTTATATCAGTTACACGGTCACTGTTCAATGGTCAGATTCAAGATGCACGCCAAAATACTATTCTCTTCTTTATATCAGTTACACAGTCACTGTTCAATGGTCAGATTCAAGACGCACGCCAAAAATACTATTCTCTTCGTTTATATGAGTTACACGGTCACTGATCAATGGTCAGATTCAAGCTGGCCCCCCAGAAAACCGTTCTCTTCGTTTATATCAGTTACACGGTCACTGTTCAATGGTCAGATTAAAGCTGCCCACCCCAGAAAACCGTTCTCTTCGTTTATATGAGTTACACGGTCACTGTTCAATGGTCAGATTCAAGCTGCCCCCAGAAAACCGTTCTCTTCGTTTATATCAGTTACACAGTCAGTGTTCGATGGTCAGATTCAAGCTGCCCCCCAGAAAACCGTTCTCTGCATTTATATCAGTTACACAGTCACTGTTCAGTGGTCAGATTCAAGCTGCCCACCATAAAACTGTTCTCTTCGTTTATATCAGTTACACGGTCACTGTTCAATGGTCAGATTCAAGCTGCCCCCCCAAAAAAAGTGCTCTTCGTTTATATCAGTTACATGGTCACTGTTGAATGGTAAGATTCAAGCTGCCCACCAAAAATAGTATTCTCTTCGTTTACATGAGTTACAATATCACTGTTCAATGGTCAGATTCAAGCTGCCCCCCAGAAACCGTTCTCTTCGTTTATATCAGTTACACGGTCACTGTTCAATGGTCAATTCAAGCTGCCCCCAGAAAACCGTTCTCTTCGTTTATGTCAGTAACACAGTCACTGTTCGATGGTCAGATTTAAGCTGCCCGCCAAAAATACTATTCTCTTCGTTTATATCAGTTACACGGTCACTGTTCAGTGGTCAGATTCAAGCTACCCCCCAGAAAATGGTTCACTTCGTTTATATCAGTTACACAGTCACTGTTCAATGGTCAGATTCAAGCTACCCACCCCTCAAAAAAAAGTGCTCTTCGTTTATATCAGTTACACGGTCACTGTTCAATGGTCAGATTCAAGCTGCCCACCATAAAACCGTTCTCTTCGTTTATATCAGTTACACAGTCAGTGTTCGATGGTCAGATTCAAGCTGCCCACCATAAAAGTGTTCTCTTCGTTTATATCAGTTACACGGTCACTGTTCAATGGTCAGATTCAAGCTGGCCCCCCAGAAAACCGTTCTCTTCGTTTATATCAGTTACACGGTCACTGTTCAATGGTCAGATTCAAGCTGCCCCCCAGAAAACCGTTCTCTTCGTTTATATCAGTTACACGGTTACTGTTCAATGGTCAGATTCAAGCTGCCCCCAGAAAACCATTCTCTTTGTTTATATCAGTTACACGGTCACTGTTCAATGGTCAGATTCAAGATGCACGCCAAAAATACTATTCTCTTCTTTATATCAGTTACACAGTCACTGTTCAATGGTCAGATTCAAGACGCACGCCAAAAATACTATTCTCTTCGTTTATATGAGTTACACGGTCACTGATCAATGGTCAGATTCAAGCTGGCCCCCCAGAAAACCGTTCTCTTCGTTTATATCAGTTACACGGTCACTGTTCAATGGTCAGATTAAAGCTGCCCACCCCAGAAAACCGTTCTCTTCGTTTATATGAGTTACACGGTCACTGTTCAATGGTCAGATTCAAGCTGCCCCCAGAAAACCGTTCTCTTCGTTTATATCAGTTACACAGTCAGTGTTCGATGGTCAGATTCTTCAATGCTGCCCCCAGAAAACCGTTCTCTGCATTTATATCAGTTACACAGTCACTGTTCAGTGGTCAGATTCAAGCTGCCCACCATAAAACTGTTCTCTTCGTTTATATCAGTTACACGGTCACTGTTCAATGGTCAGATTCAAGCTGCCCCCCCAAAAAAAGTGCTCTTCGTTTATATCAGTTACATGGTCACTGTTGAATGGTAAGATTCAAGCTGCCCACCAAAAATAGTATTCTCTTCGTTTACATGAGTTACAATATCACTGTTCAATGGTCAGATTCAAGCTGCCCCCCCAGAAAACCGTTCTCTTCGTTTATATCAGTTACACGGTCACTGTTCAATGGTCAGATTCAAGCTGCCCCCCAGAAAACCGTTCTCTTCGTTTATGTCAGTAACACAGTCACTGTTCGATGGTCAGATTTAAGCTGCCCGCCAAAAATACTATTCTCTTCGTTTATATCAGTTACGGTCACTGTTCAGTGGTCGAATTCAAGCTACCCCCTTCGTTTAGAAAATGGTTCACTTCGTTTATATCAGTTACACAGTCACTGTTCAATGGTCAGATTCAAGCTACCCACCCCTCAAAAAAAAGTGCTCTTCGTTTATATCAGTTACACGGTCACTGTTCAGTAGTCAGATTCAAGCTGCCCCCCAGAAAACCGTTCTCTTCGTTTATATCAGTTACACAGTCAGTGTTCGATGGTCAGATTCAAGCTGCCCACCATAAAAGTGTTCTCTTCGTTTATATCAGTTACACGGTCACTGTTCAATGGTCAGATTCAAGCTGGCCCCCCAGAAAACCGTTCTCTTCGTTTATATCAGTTACACGGTCACTGTTCAATGGTCAGATTAAAGCTTCCCACCCCAGAAAACCGTTCTCTTCGTTTATATGAGTTACACGGTCACTGTTCAATGGTCAGATTCAAGCTGCCCCCAGAAAACTGTTCTCTTCGTTTATATCAGTTACACAGTCAGTGTTCGATGGTCAGATTCAAGCTGCCCCCCAGAAAACTGTTCTCTGCATTTATATCAGTTACACAGTCACTGTTCAGTATCCAGATTCAAGCTGCCCACCATAAAACTGTTCTCTTCGTTTATATCAGTTACACGGTCACTGTTCAATGGTCAGATTCAAGCTGCCCGCCAGAAAACCGTTCTCTTCGTTTATATCAGTTACACGGTCACTGTTCAATGGTCAGATTTAAGCTGCCCCCCAGAAAACCATTCTCTGCATTTATATCAGTTACACAGTCACTGTTCAATGGTCAAATTCAAGCTGCCCCCCCAGAAGACCGTTCTCTTCGTTTATATCAGTTACACGGTCACTGTTCAGTGGTCAGATTCAAGCTGCCCACCATAAAACTGTTCTCATCGTTTATATCAGTTACACGGTCACTGTTCAATGGTCAGATTCAAGCTGCCCCCCCAAAAAAAGTGCTCTTCGTTTATATCAGTTACATGGTCACTGTTGAATTGTAAGATTCAAGCTGCCCACCAAAATAGTATTCTCTTCGTTTACATGAGTTACAATATCACTGTTCAATGGTCAGATTCAAGCTGCCCCCCAGAAAACCGTTCTCTTCGTTTATATCAGTTACACGGTCACTGTTCAATGGTCAATTCAAGCTGCCCCCAGAAAACCGTTCTCTTCGTTTATGTCAGTAACACAGTCACTGTTCGATGGTCAATTTAAGCTGCCCGCCAAAATACTATTCTCTTCGTTTATATCAGTTACACGGTCACTGTTCAGTGGTCAGATTCAAGCTACCCCCCAGAAAATGGTTCACTTCATTTATATCAGTTACACAGTCACTGTTCAATGGTCAGATTCAAGCTACCCACCCCTCAAAAAAAAGTGCTCTTCGTTTATATCAGTGACACAGTCAGTGTTATTCATGGTCGATTTCAAGCTGCCCACCATAAAACTGTTCTCTTCGTTTATATCAGTTACACGGTCACTGTTCAATGGTCAATTCGAATTCAAGCTGCCCCCAGAAAACCGTTCTCTTCATTTATATCAGTTACACAGTCACTGTTCAATGGTCAGATTCAAGCTGCCCCCCAGAAAACCCGTTCTCTTCGTTTATATCAGTTACACAGTCACTGTTCAATGGTCGAATTCAAGCTACCCACCCCTCAAAAAAAAGTGCTCTTCGTTTATATCAGTTACACGGTCACTGTTCAGTAGTCAATTCAAGCTGCCCCCAGAAAACCGTTCTCTTCGTTTATATCAGTTACACAGTCGGTGTTCGATGGTCAATTCAAGCTGCCCACCATAAAAGTGTTCTCTTCGTTTATATCAGTTACCACGGTCACTGTTCAATGGTCGAATTCAAGCTGGCCCCCAGAAAACCGTTCTCTTCGTTTATATCAGTTACACGGTCACTGTTCAATGGTCAGATTAAAGCTGCCCACCCCAGAAAACCGTTCTCTTCGTTTATATGAGTTACATGGTCACTGTTCAATGGTCAGATTCAAGCTGGCCCCAGAAAACCGTTCTCTTCGTTTATATCAGTTACACAGTCAGTGTTCGATGGTCAGATTCAAGCTGCCCCCCAGAAAACCGTTCTCTGCATTTATATCAGTTACACAGTCACTGTTCAGTGGCCAGATTCAAGCTGCCCACCATAAAACTGATCTCTTCGTTTATATCAGTTACACGGTCACTGTTCAATGGTCAGATTCAAGCTGCCCCCCAGAAAACAATTCTCTGCATTTATATCAGTTACACAGTCACTGTTCAATGGTCAAATTCAAGCTGCCCCCCAGAAGACCGTTCTCTTCGTTTATATCAGTTACACGTTCACTGTTCAGTGGTCAGATTCAAAGCTGCCCCCATAAAACTGTTCTCTTCGTTTATATCAGTTACGGTCACTGTTCAATGGTCGAATTCAAGCTGCCCCCCAAAAAAAGTGCTCTTCGTTTATATCAGTTACATGGTCACTGTTGAATGGTAAGATTCAAGCTGCCCACCAAAAATAGTATTCTCTTCGTTTACATGAGTTACAATATCACTGTTCAATGGTCAGATTCAAGCTGCCCCCAGAAAACCGTTCTCTTCGTTTATATCAGTAACACAGTCACTGTTCAATGGTCAGATTCAAGCTGCCTACCAAAAATACTATTCTCTTCGTTTATATCCGTTACACGGTCACTGTTCAGTGGTCAGATTCAAGCTACCCCACAGAAAACAGTTCTCTTCGTTTATATCAGTTACACGGTCACTGTTCAATGATCAGATTCAAGCTGCCCCCCAGAAAACCGTTCTCTTCGTTTATATCAGTTACGCGGTCACCGTTCAATGGTCAGTTGCAAGCTGCCCCCCAGAAAACCGTTCTCTTCATTTATATCAGTTACACGGTCACTGTTCAGTAGTCAGATTCAAGCTGCCCACCATAAAACTGTTCTCTTCGTTTATATCAGTTACACGGTCACTGTTCAATTGTCAGATACAAGCTGCCCCCCAGAAAACCGTTCTCTTCGTTTATATCAGTTACACGGTCACTGTTCAATGGTCAGATTCAAGCTGCCACCCAGAAAACCGTTCTCTTCGTTTATATCAATTACACGGTTACTGTTCAATGGTCAGATTCAAGCTGCCTATCAAAAATACTATTCTCTTCGTTTATATCCGTTACACGGTCACTGTTCAGTGGTCAGATTCAAGCTGCCCCCCAGAAAACCGTTCTCTTCGTTTATATCAGTTACACGGTCACTGTTCAGTGGTCAGATTCAAGCTACCCCACAGAAAACCGTTCTCTTCGTTTATATCAGTTACACGGTCACTATTCAATGGTCAGATTCAAGCTGCCCCCCAGAAAACCGTTTTCTTCGTTTATATCAGTTACACGGTCACTGTTCAATGGTCAGATTCAAGCTGTCCCCCCAAAAATGCTCTTCGTTTATATCAGTTACCGCGGTCACTGTTCAGTGGTCAGATTCAAGCTGCCCCACAGAAAACCGTTCTCTTCGTTTATATCAGTTACACGGTCACTGTTCAATGGTCAGATTTAAGCTGCCTACAAAAAATACTATTCTCTTCATTTATATCAGTTACACGGTCACTGTTCAATGGTCAGATTCAAGCTGCCCCCCCCCAAAAAAAGTGCTCTTCGTTTATATCAGTTACACGGTCACTGTTCAATGGTCAGATTCAAGCTGCCCCCAAGAAAACCGTTCTCTTTGTTTATATCAGTTACACTGTCACTGTTCAATGGTCAGATTTAAGCTGCCTACAAAAAATACTATTCTCTTCATTTATATCAATTACACGGTCACTGTTCAATGGTCAGATTCAAGCTGCCCCCCAGAAAACCGTTCTCTTCGTTTATATCAGTTACACGGTCACTGTTCAATGGTCAGATTCAAGCTGCCCACCAAAAATACTATTCTATTCGTTTATATCAATTACACGGTCACTGTTCAATGGTCAGATTCAAGCTGCCCCCCCACCCCCAAGTGCTCTTCATTTATATCAGTTACACTGTCAATTTTCAATGGTCAGATTAAAGCTCCCCACCAAAAATACTATTCCTTCATTTATATCAATTACACGGTCACTGTTCAATGGCCAGATTCAAGCTGCCCGCCCCCAGAAAACCGTTCTCTTCGTTTATATCAGTTACACGGTCACTGTTCAATGCTCAGATACAAGCTGCCCCCCACAAAACCGTTCTCTTTGTTTATATCAGTTACACAGTCACTGTTCAATGGTCAGATTCAAGCTGCCTGCCAAAAATACTAATCTCTTCGTTTATATCGGTTACATGGTCACTGTTCAATGTTCAATGTTCAATTCCCCCCAGAAAACCGTTCTCTTCGTTTATATCAGTTACACCGTCACTGTTCAATAGTCAGATTCAAGCTGCCCCCCCCAAAAAAAAACCGTTCTCTTCGTTTATATCAGTTACACGGTCACTGTTCAATGGTCGAATTCAAGCTGCCCGCCCAAAAAATACTATTCTCTTCGTTTATATCAGTTACGGTCACTGTTCAATGGTCAATTCAAGCTGCCCACCAAAAATACTATTCTCTTCGTTTATATCAGTTACGGTCACTGTTCAATGGTCTGATTCAAGCTGCCCCACCCCAAAGGGCTCTTCATTTATATCAGTTACAGGGTCAATGTTCAATGGTCAGATTCAAGCTGCCCACCAAAAATACTATTCTCTTCATTTATTTCAGTTACGGTCACTGTTCAATGGTCAGATTCAAGCTTCCCCAGAAAACCGTTCTCTTCTTTTATATCAGTAACACAGTCACTGTTCAATGGTCAGTTTTAAGCTGCCCGCCAAAATACTATTCTCTTCGTTTATATCGGTTTACATGGTCACTGTTCAATGGTCAGATTCAAGCTGCCCCCCCCAGAAAACCGTTCTCTTCGTTTATATCAGTTACACGGTCACTGTTCAATGGTTAGATTCAAGCTGCCCCCGAAAACCGTTCTCTTCGTTTATATCAGTTACACGGTCACTGTTCAATGGTCAGTTTTAAGCCCCAAAAAAATACTATTCTCTTCGTTTATATCAGTAACACAGTCACTGTTCAATGGTCAGTTTTAAGCTGCCCGCCAAAAATACTATTCTCTTCGTTTATATCGGTTACATGGTCACTGTTCAATGGTCAGATTCTAGCTGCCCCCCCCCCCCCCCGAAAACCGTTCTCTTCGTTTATATCAGTTACACGGTCACTGTTCAGTGGTCAGATACAAGCTGCCCCCCAGAAAACCGTTCTCTTCGTTTATATCAGTTACACGGTCACTGTTCAATGGTCAGATTCAAGCTGCCCGCCAAAAATACTATTCTCTTCGTTTATATCAGTTACACGGTCACTGTTCAGTGGTCAGATTCAAGCTGCCCGCCAAAAATACTATTCTCTTCATTTATATCAGTTACACGGTCACTGTTCAATAGTCAGATTCAAGCTGCCCGCCAAAAACACTATTCACTTCGTTTATATCGGTTACACAGTCACTGTTCAATGTTCAGATTCAAGCAGCCCCCCAGAAAACCGTTCTCTTCGTTTATATCAGTTACCACGGTCACTGTTCAATGGTTGAGATTCAAGCTGCCCCCAGAAATCCGTTCTCTTCGTTTATATCAGTTACGATCACTGTTCAGTGGTCAGATACAAGCTGCCCCCCAGAAAACCGTTCTCTTCGTTTATATCAGTTACACGGTCACTGTTCAATGGTCAGATTCAAGCTGCCCGCCAAAATTACTATTCTCTTTGTTTACATCAGTTACACGGTCATTGTTCAGTGGTCAGATTCAAGCTTCCCCCAGAAAACCGTTCTCTTCGTTTATATCAGTTACACAGTCACTGTTCAGTGGTCAGATTCAAGCTGCCCCCCCAAAATGCTCTTCATTTATATCAGTTACACGGTCAATGTTCAATGGTCAGATTCAAGCTGCCCACCAAAAATACTATTCTCTTCGTTTATATCAGTTACACGGTCACTGTTCAATGGTCAGATCCTAGCTGCCCCCCCGAAAAACCGTTCTCTTCGTTTATATCAGTTACGGTCACTGTTCAATGGTCCGATTTAAGCTGCCCGCCAAAATACTATTCTCTTCATTTATATCGGTTACACGGTCACTGTTCAATGTTCAGATTCAAGCGGCCCCCCAGGAAACCGTTCCCTTTGTTTATATCAGTTACACGGTCACTGTTCAATGGTCAGATTCACGCTGCCCGCCAAAAATACTATTCTCTTCATTTATATCAGTTACACGGTCACTGTTCAATGGTCAGATTCAAGCTGCATCCTCCAAAATGCTCTTCGTTTATATCAGTTACCACGGTCAATGTTCAATGGTCAGATTCAAGCTGCCCACCAAAATACTATTCCCTTCATTTATATCAATTACGGTCACTGTTCAATGGCCAGATTCAAGCTGCCCGCCCCAGAAAACCGTTCTCTTCGTTTATATCAGTTACACGGTCACTGTTCAATGCTCAGATACAAGCTGCCCCCACAAAACCGTTCTCTTTTGTTTATATCAGTTACACAGTCACTGTTCAATGGTCAGATTTAAGCTGCCTACAAAAAATACTATTCTCTTCATTTATATCAGTTACACGGTCACTGTTCAATGGTCAGATTCAAGCTGCCCCCCAAAAAAAATTGCTCTTCGTTTATATCAGTTACACGGTCACTGTTCAATGGTCAGATTCAAACTGCCCCCAAGAAAACCGTTCTCTTTGTTTATATCAGTTACACTGTCACTGTTCAATGGTCAGATTTAAGCTGCCTACAAAAAATACTATTCTCTTCATTTATATCAATTACACGGTCACTGTTCAATGGTCAGATTCAAGCTGCCCCCCAGAAAACCGTTCTCTTCGTTTATATCAGTTACACGGTCACTGTTCAATGGTCAGATTCAAGCTGCCCACCAAAAATACTATTCTATTCGTTTATATCAATTACACGGTCACTGTTCAATGGTCAGATTCAAGCTGCCCCCCCACCCCCAAGTGCTCTTCGTTTATATCAGTTACACTGTCAATGTTCAATGGTCAGATTAAAGCTCCCCACCAAAAATACTATTCCCTTCATTTATATCAATTACACGGTCACTGTTCAATGGCCAGATTCAAGCTGCCCCGCCCCCCAGAAAACCGTTCTCTTCGTTTATATCAGTTACACGGTCACTGTTCAATGCTCAGATACAAGCTGCCCCCCACAAAACCGTTCTCTTTGTTTATATCAGTTACACAGTCACTGTTCAATGGTCAGATTCAAGCTGCCTGCCAAAAATACTATTCTCTTCGTTTATATCGGTTACATGGTCACTGTTCAATGTTCAGATTCAAGCGGCCCCCCAGAAAACCGTTCTCTTCGTTTATATCAGTTACACCGTCACTGTTCAATAGTCAGATTCAAGCTGCCCCCCCCAAAAAAAACCGTTCTCTTCGTTTATATCAGTTACACGGTCACTGTTCAATGGTCAGATTCAAGCTGCCCGCCCAAAATACTATTCTCTTCGTTTATATCAGTTACACGGTCACTGTTCAATGGTCAGATTCAAGCTGCCCACCAAAAATACTATTCTCTTCGTTTATATCAGTTACACGGTCACTGTTCAATGGTCTGATTCAAGCTGCCCACCCCAAAGGGCTCTTCATTTATATCAGTTACAGGGTCAATCTTCAATGGTCAGATTCAAGCTGCCCACCAAAAATACTATTCTCTTCATTTATTTCAGTTACACGGTCACTGTTCAATGGTCAGATTCAAGCTTCCCCCCAGAAAACCGTTCTCTTCGTTTATATCAGTAACACAGTCACTGTTCAATGGTCAGTTTTAAGCTGCCCGCCAAAAATACTATTCTCTTCGTTTATATCGGTTACATGGTCACTGTTCAATGGTCAGATTCAAGCTGCCCCCCCCAGAAAACCGTTCTCTTCGTTTATATCAGTTACACGGTCACTGTTCAATGGTTAGATTCAAAGCTGCCCCCCCGAAAACCGTTCTCTTCGTTTATATCAGTTACACGGTCACTGTTCAATGGTCAGTTTAAAGCTGCCCGCCAAAAATACTATTCTCTTCGTTTATATCAGTAACACAATCACTGTTCAATGGTCAGTTTTAAGCTGCCCGCCAAAAATACTATTCTCTTCGTTTATATCGGTTACATGGTCACTGTTCAATGGTCAGATTCTAGCTGCCCCCCCCCTGAAAACCGTTCTCTTCGTTTATATCAGTTACGGTCACTGTTCAGTGGTCAGATACAAGCTGCCCCACAGAAACCGTTCTCTTCGTTTATATCAGTTACGGTCACTGTTCAGTGGGTCAGATTCAAGCTGCCCGCCAAAAATACTATTCTCTTCATTTATATCAGTTACACGGTCACTGTTCAATAGTCAGATTCAAGCTGCCCGCCAAAAACACTATTCACTTCGTTTATATCGGTTACACAGTCACTGTTCAATGTTCAGATTCAAGCAGCCCCCCAGAAAACCGTTCTCTTCGTTTATATCAGTTACACGGTCACTGTTCAATGGTTAGATTCAAGCTGCCCCCCCAGAAATCCGTTCTCTTCGTTTATATCAGTTACACGATCACTGTTCAGTGGTCAGATACAAGCTGCCCCCCAGAAAACCGTTCTCTTCGTTTATATCAGTTACACGGTCATTGTTCAATGGTCAGATTCAAGCTGCCCGCCAAAATTACTATTCTCTTTGTTTACATCAGTTACACGGTCATTGTTCAGTGGTCAGATTCAAGCTTCCCCCAGAAAACCGTTCTCTTCGTTTATATCAGTTACACAGTCACTGTTCAGTGGTCAGATTCAAGCTGCCCCCCCAAAATGCTCTTCATTTATATCAGTTACACGGTCAATGTTCAATGGTCAGATTCAAGCTGCCCACCAAAAATACTATTCTCTTCGTTTATATCAGTTACACGGTCACTGTTCAATGGTCAGATCCTAGCTGCCCCCCCCCGAAAACCGTTCTCTTCATTTATATCTGTTACACGGTCACTGTTCAATGGTCCGATTTAAGCTGCCCGCCAAAAATACTATTCTCTTCATTTATATCGGTTACACGGTCACTGTTCAATGTTCAGATTCAAGCGGCCCCAGGAAACCGTTCCTTTGTTTATATCAGTTACGGTCACTGTTCAATGGTCGATTCACGCTGCCCGCCAAAAATACTATTCTCTTCGTTTATATCAGTTACACGGTCACTGTTCAATGGTCAGATTCAAGCTGCATCCTCCAAAATGCTCTTCGTTTATCTCAGTTACACGGTCAATGTTCAATGGTCAGATTCAAGCTGCCCACCAAAAATACTATTCCCTTCATTTATATCAATTACACGGTCACTGTTCAATGGCTGATTCAAGCTGCCCCGCCCCCAGAAAACCGTTCTCTTCGTTTATATCAGTTACGGGTCACTGTTCAATGCTCAGATACAAGCTGCCACCCACAAAACCGTTCTCTTTGTTTATATCAGTTACACAGTCACTGTTCAATGGTCAGATTTAAGCTGCCTGCCAAAAATACTATTCTCTTCGTTTATATCGGTTACATGGTCACTGTTCAATGGTCAGATTCAAGCTGCCCGCCAAAATTACTATTCTCTTTGTTTATATCAGTTACACGGTCACTGTTCAATGGTCAGATTCAAGCTGCCCGCCAGAAAACCGTTCTCTTCGTTTATATCAGTTACACAGTCACTGTTCAATGGTCAGATTCAAGCTGCCCGCCAAAAATACTATTCTCTTCATTTATATCAGTTACACGTTCACTGTTCAATTGTCAGATTCAAGCTGCCCGCCAGAAAACCGTTCTCTTCGTTTATATCAGTTACACAGTCACTGTTCAATGGTCAGATTCAAGCTGCCCGCCAAAAATACTATTCTCTTCGTTTATATCAGTTACACGGTCACTGTTCAGTGGTCAGATTCAAGCTGCCCGCCAAAAATACTATTCTCTTCATTTATATCAGTTACACGGTCACTGTTCAATAGTCAGATTCAAGCTGCCCGCCAAAAACACTATTCTCTTCGTTTATATCGGTTACACGGTCACTGTTCAATGTTCAGATGCAAGCGGCCCCCCAGAAAACCGTTCTCTTCGTTTATATCAGTTACACGGTCACTGTTCAATGGTCAGATTCAAGCTGCCCGCCAAAATTACTATTCTCTTTGTTTATATCAGTTACACTGTCACTGTTCAGTGGTCAGATTCAAGCTTCCCCCAGAAAACCGTTCTCTTCGTTTATATCAGTTACACAGTCACTGTTCAGTGGTCAGATACAAGCTGCCCCCCAGAAAACCGTTCTCTTCATTTATATCAGTTACACGGTCACTGTTCAATGGTCAGATTCAAGCTGCCCCCAAAATGCTCTTCATTTATATCAGTTACGGTCAATGTTCAATGGTCAGATTCAAGCTGCCCACCAAAAATACTAGTCTCTTCGTTTATATCAGTTACACGGTCACTGTTCATTGGCCAGATTCAAGCTGCCCACCCCCCAGAAAACCGTTCTCTTCGTTTATATCAGTTACACGGTCACTGTTCAATGGTCAGATCCTAGCTGCCCCGCCCCGAAAACCGTTCTCTTCATTTATATCTGTTACACGGTCACTGTTCAATGCTCAGATTCAAGCTGGCCCCACAAAACCGTTCTCTTCGTTTATATCAGTTACACAGTCACTGTTCAATGGTCCGATTTAAGCTGCCCGCGAAAAATACTATTCTCTTCATTTATATCGGTTACACGGTCACTGTTCAATGTTCTGATTCAAGCGGCCCCCCAGAAAACCGTTCTCTTCGTTTATATCAGTTACACGGTCACTGTTCAATGGTCCGATTTAAGCTGCCCGCCAAAAATACTATTCTCTTCATTTATATCGGTTACACTGTCACTGTTCAATGGTCAGATTCAAGCTGCCCCCCCCCGAAAACCGTTCTCTTCGTTTATAACAGTTACACAATCACTGTTCAATGGTCAGATTCAAGCTGCTCGCCAAAAATACTATTCTCTTTGTTTATATCACTTACACGGTCACCGTTCAATGGTCAGATTCGAGCTGCCCCCCAAAAATACTATTCTCTTCGTTTATATCAGTTACACGGTCACTGTTCAATTGTCAGATTCAATCTGCCCCCCAGAAAACCGTTCTCTTCGTTTATATCAGTTACACAGTCACTGTTCAGTGGTCAGATTCAAGCTGCCCCCCAAAAATGCTCTTCATTTATATCAGTTACACGGTCAATGTTCAATGGTCAGATTCAAGCTGCCCACCAAAAATACTATTCTCTTCGTTTATATCAGTTACACGGTCACTGTTCAATGGCCAGATTCAAGCTGCCCCCCCCCAGAAAACCGTTCTCTTCGTTTATATCAGTTACATGGTCACTGTTCAATGGTCAGATCCTAGCTGCCCCCCCCCAGAAAACCGTTCTCTTCATTTATATCTGTTACACGGTCACTGTTCAATGGTCCGATTTAAGCTGCCCGCCAAAAATACTATTCTCTTCATTTATATCGGTTACACGGTCACTGTTCAATGTTTAGATTCAAGCGGCCCACCAGGAAACCGTTCCCTTCGTTTATATCAGTTACACGGTCACTGTTCAATGGTCAGATTCACGCTGCCCGCCAAAAATACTATTCTCTTCGTTTATATCAGTTACACGGTCACTGTTCAATGGTCAGATTCAAGCTGCATCCTCCAAAATGCTCTTCGTTTATATCAGTTACACGGTCAATGTTCAATGGTCAGATTCAAGCTGCCCACCAAAAATACTATTCCCTTCATTTATATCAATTACACGGTCACTGTTCAATGGCCAGATTCAAGCTGCCCCGCCCCCCAGAAAACCGTTCTCTTCGTTTATATCAGTTACACGGTCACTGTTCAATGCTCAGATACAAGCTGCCCCCACAAAACCGTTCTCTTTGTTTATATCAGTTACACAGTCACTGTTCAATGGTCAGATTTAAAGCTGCCTGCCAAAATACTATTCTCTTCGTTTATATCGGTTTACATGGTCACTGTTCAATATTTCAGATTCAAGCGGCCCCCAGAAAACCGTTCTCTTTGTTTATATCAGTTACACCGTCACTGTTCAATAGTCAATTCAAGCTGCCCCCCCAAAAAACCGTTCTCTTCGTTTATATCAGTTACACGGTCACTGTTCAATGGTCAGATTCAAGCTGCCCGCCAGAAAACCGTTCTCTTCGTTTATATCAGTTACACAGTCACTGTTCAATGGTCAGATTCAAGCTGCCCGCCAAAAATACTATTCTCTTCATTTATATCAGTTACACGTTCACTGTTCAATTGTCAGATTCAAGCTGCCCCCCAGAAAACCGTTCTCTTCGTTTATATCAGTTACACAGTCAGTGTTCGATGGTCGAATTCAAGCTGCCCGCCAAAAATACTATTCTCTTCGTTTATATCAGTTACACGGTCACTGTTCAGTGGTCGATTCAAGCTGCCCGCCAAAAATACTATTCTCTTCATTTATATCAGTTACACGGTCACTGTTCAATAGTCAGATTCAAGCTGCCCGCCAAAAACACTATTCTCTTCGTTTATATCGGTTACACGGTCACTGTTCAATGTTCAGATTCAAGCAGCCCCCCAGAAAACCGTTCTCTTCGTTTATATCAGTTTCTCGGTCACTGTTCAATGGTCAGATTCAAGCTGCCCGCCAAAATTACTATTCTCTTTGTTTATATCAGTTACACGGTCACTGTTCAGTGGTCAGATTCAAGCTTCCCCCAGAAAACCGTTCTCTTCGTTTATATCAGTTACACAGTCACTGTTCAGTGGTCAGATACAAGCTGCCCCCCAGAAAACCGTTCTCTTCATTTATATCAGTTACACGGTCACTGTTCAATGGTCAGATTCAAGCTGCCCCCCCAAAATGCTCTTCATTTATATCAGTTACACGGTCAATGTTCAATGGTCAGATTCAAGCTGCCCACCAAAAATACTATTCTCTTCGTTTATATCAGTTACACGGTCACTGTTCATTGGCCAGATTCAAGCTGCCCACCCCCCAGAAAACCGTTCTCTTCGTTTATATCAGTTACACGGTCACTGTTCAAAGGTCAGATCCTAGCTGCCCCGCCCCGAAAACCGTTCTCTTCATTTATATCTGTTACACGGTCACTGTTCAATGCTCAGATTCAAGCTGGCCCCACAAAACCGTTCTCTTCGTTTATATCAGTTACACAGTCACTGTTCAATGGTCCGATTTAAGCTGCCCGCCAAAAATACTATTCTCTTCATTTATATCGGTTACACGGTCACTGTTCAATGTTCTGATTCAAGCGGCCCCCCATAAAACCGTTCTCTTCGTTTATATCAGTTACACGGTCACTGTTCAATGGTCCGATTTAAGCTGCCCCCCCTGAAACCGTTCTCTTCGTTTATAACAGTTACACAATCACTGTTCAATGGTCAGATTCAAGCTGCTCGCCAAAAATACTATTCTCTTTGTTTATATCACTTACACGGTCACCGTTCAATGGTCAGATTCGAGCTGCCCCCCAAAAATACTATTCTCTTCGTTTATATCAGTTACATGGTCACTGTTCAATGGTCAGATTCAATCTGCCCCCCAGAAAACCGTTCTCTTTGTTTATATCAGTTACACAGTCACTGTTCAATGTTCAGATTCAAGCTGCCCGCCAAAAATACTATTCTCTTCGTTTATATCAGTTACACGGTCACTGTTCAATGGTCAGATTCAAGCTGCCCGCCAAAAATACTATTCTCTTCGTTTATATCAGTTACATGGTCACTGTTCAATGGTCAGATTCAAGCTGCCCGCCAAAAATACTATTCTCTTCGTTTATATCAGTTACACGGTCACTGTTCAATGGTCAGATTCAAGCTACTGCCCCCCCCCAGAAAACCGTTCTCTTCGTTTATATCAGTTACACAGTCACTGTTCAATGGTCAGATTCAAGCTGCGAGCCAAAAATACTATTCTCTTCATTTATATCAGTTACACAGTCACTGTTCAATGGTCAGATTCAAGCTACCCCCGCAGAAAACCGTTCTCTTCGTTTATATCAGTTACTTGCAAACACATGCAAATCACTAGCAATTTTAAATGTCTTTCTCCCATGTATGTGCCTTGATAGAATTACAAATGGTGATCATGACCGAACTGATCAAATGCTGCGCGCACTTAGCATTGGGTAAGTTGTAGCCCCTTCCTCCCACTTCACTACATTCTGCTTTGTGGAACTGTCTCCCAGAAAGATGCTTCCCCGATCACTACAATATTAACCTGTTCAAATCTAGTGTCAACTTTTATCTTCCACACATATCCCCATAAACTGTGCATCTTACTATATAACTCTCTATCTTGAGTGGTTTTTGGGCCTTGTACAGGGTGAATATTATTGTAAAAAAAAAAAATGTGCATATTATTATGATTCATGATCATTTTTTATATTCATTTAATCTGCCATCATTTGTCTATCCTTCATCTGTCCAGTAGGAGGTAAGAGGGCATTCAGTTTAGTTGCCTTTAGTGAATGTTTAGTTCAGTTTTTCATCATCTACCTTGTGGTTAAGATAGTTGCATTTCCTATTTGTGTAAGAGACCAGTGTTTTAACCTTTTAGCAAACAACGGAAAATGTAATACCAAAATCAGAAGGTGCAATGATTTAGCAAAAGATGCCTTCCAAAAGCTAATCAAAGTATTAAGAAACGGGAAAATTTTCAGTGAATGCTGGACAATTTTCTTACAGATGAAGAGGAGATTTAAGGCAACAGAGATGTTGCTTTACAAGGATGCTGAGAATACCATGGATGGCACATGTGAAAAAACACTTGTGCTTAGGATCAGGAAGAGACAGTTGAAATTTCTGGGACACATACTGAGAAAATAGGGCTTGGAGAATTTGATACTCACAGGACATACTGAAAGCGACAAGGGCAAAGAGAAACAGTGAGTAACCTACCTAATGAAATTGTGTAAATGAATGACAGAATAATGATTAGGGGAGAAAAAGAGGCAAATATTACTTAGAGTTACAAAGTATAGAAAGTTATGGTGAGCTATGATCACCCACATCCTGGCAGGCCATAGCACAGAAAAGAAGAAAATGGGAGATATTTTGAATGTCAAGTTTCCAGACAGGCAGCTTCTCGCCTTACTTGGAAGATGAACATGATCTTTCTATCTACACCCAGTTTTTCTTTCTTATTTGGCCTTTTGCCATACTAAATTAATATTCAGTTCTTGTTCATCTTATGAAAAACATGAAATCTAACTAACAGAGATCTGTTTCAGTGAAGCTATCCATTCATCACTGACAATTGAGCTTTCAAATACTTGACACTTTGGTGCAGCATCAAGTGGAATGTGTTCATTGATTTATAGTGTCATTTCTTTAAGGAAATATTGATAAAGCTGTAAGGAAATCCATTAGATTCTTTGCCTTATACTCACGGTAATGGTTGGCTATACAACACACATTCCTTGTGTAAAGATCATCAATGTCAAATTCATAGGATCAATCCATAGCCACATTCACATTATAAAGCTTTGATAATTGGTGCAGACAATGGTGCCATGCTTTCTATCTCTCTCTTTCTCTCTCTCTCTCTCTTAACGCCTGTAATTTTTCAGATGAGACAGGATTTCATACAAACAAATTTTAAATCAAGCATGTTCTGTCAATTAAGTGGTACTCTTCCAGTGACCTTGTTAGAACTGAAGACTGTTCATCATGTGGTGGTTACTGCCTACCCTCTTATCTAGATGAGCCTGAAAATCAAGTATTAAAAGTGTAAATTAGTATACATGTCGGTATGATTAGTATAAAGATTATATTTAGCGGATGCACATATTTTAGTAGACATCCATTTATTTTATTAAACAGTATCATTGTTGTTGTCAACCGATCTTAGCGTTCAAAAGCCTTAATAAAGAAATTCTGCCTTTCAAAAGGGTTCAAACCTGCATCTCTCTTATATTAGGGAACCCACCTTTAGGCCAGGTGTTCTTTATACCATTCAGCTACAGAAGACTTCACAGCAAAGCAAGACTTAATTAAACCCTTTTTAAAGCAAGAACATTTTTTCTTAGGACTTTTTCAAACACATAATAATTTGTCCTACCTTGAAGCAAATTGCAGTGTTTGTTTGCTTCTTTTTCATATACTCACTCACTAAGAACAATATCCATTCAGGATATAGGTGATTATGGCTCTCCACAACTCCCTATTCTTTAATATCTACAAACTGAATTGCCATGATTGTTTTTTAATTAACTTATTTGAGAAACATTACTTTTTCCACAGTTTTTAATTTTCATCCTTTTCATAGATCGGTTGCCCTACCAAGTCTAGAGACTCGTATCTTCCCTGTTTAACATATAGCCAGTAGGAGAAGAGATAAATTCATGCCTTTCCTAAGGGAACCCATGTAGAATGAACTCAAACTGTTTCAGCTAGAATTTGAACCCTGCTCTCAGTTTCCATTTTCAAGTTATTAACTATTAGGCCATTCACGAGTGCTACTTAGATTAGAAGATAATCCAAGTAAATTATTAGCCTCCCCTACCGAACAGTAATAATTAAAGTCTTGACTTTGCCACCTGCAGTTCATTGCTCTAACCACAGCATTAACCTAACATTAATGTTTAAATGAAGCTTTCACAGGTTCATTAAATGTTATCAGTGGGGGAAGTGAAGTTACTATGCAGAGTTCAAATTCTGGTTGGTTTTGTTTTGTTTGCTTTGTATTAATGCTCTAGGGAAAACAAAGCTACAAATCCATCTCCTCCCAGCTATGGGATAAACAGCAGAGAAAGCTGTGCTCTCTTGCCATTGGTGGTTACCAGTCTAGGAGAAGGAAACCTCTGAATTCAAAATCAAGATGAAGAGGGATAGACTCTGTCAGGTTATCTTGCCTTAGACACAACCACAGCTGCTATGGCTGCAGTGTACCAATATACCGCCTCCCTCTCTCCCTCCCTCCCAATGGGTTATGGGATTCACTAATTAGTCAATTCACAATGACCTCCTTTTGACATACAGCATACTTTACTATTATTAGCATTGTTGAGGTAAAAGAAACCAACAGTATTTTGCTAATCTTCCAGTTGGGATTGATTGATCTGTTTTGTTTTTTACAGCTTATCAACCCTTTGTGGATTATTTACACTATTTACATTGTTTGAACAGTTTTTCTCATCTTCATTGTCATATTTATGATGTTTCGGCTGTTGTACACTCTGGCCTTCTTCAGGTGATATACGTTGGAATTTTGAACCAAACTCTTCATTTATTCCAACATATATAACCTGAAGAAGGCCGAAGTATACAATGGTCAAAGCATCATGAATATGACAATGAAGATGAAGACAATAATCTGAACAATGTAAATAGTGTAAATAATTACAAAACCTCATCTAAGAAATATAGACAGAACTTTGTGGATTATTTAAACTCAAAACATTTTGGATTGTAAGAATAATTCTTTTTGCAAGGGAATTTTGTATTAACAATTCTTTGAGAATAACACTGATTTTTCCAGATACAAGTTCTACTATTTAACCTATAGCTGGGGGAGGAAATGAATTCATACTTTTCCTAGGGGTATTTGTGTATAAAAAGTATTTCCCACTGCCAGAATATAACTTCCTTGCACCTTTTCTATAAATATTTTCATGGCACTTCTAATAAACTTTCCTCTGGTACCTAGACTTTATGAATTTAAGCACATTGGCATCTAAGTCACCTCATTTTACAGTTGAAATGGTTAGATGTATCTGTAAGTTTGGTGCTAACAGTTTCTCCTTTGTACTTCTTACTTGTGAAAGTCTCTTCTGACTTCTTGCTTTCCAGTCAACTTTGATCTTCAAAAATTTAAATGCAATCTCAATCGTTATCAAGGACAATAAAAGAAGAGAAATCAAAAAGACAGTAGTCTTTTTGATTTCTCTTCTTTTATTGTCCTCACTCCTTAATAATTTCCTTTTTCTCATATTCAGTCAGTAACCCCCCCCCTGTGTCTTAGTGGCTTTATTGCCTTGCTTGGAGTGAAATGATTTAAAAAATGTGTTAAATGAATGTAACAATCTCAACAGGAATTTGAACCGAGCTGCCCAAGTTTCTTCCAAATGTGAAGGTTCGGCCTGCTCTCAAGAGTATTTGAAACACTAGCCTTTATTTGGGATTATAGTGCTCTATATGAGGGGAAAATATATAACTACATCAGCCACTAAACTGGCTAT